CAAATGTGTAAAATGGTGTCTGTTTGGTGCACACATAACATAGAAAAGTGATGCAGTCCTGTGGAGGAAATAATCTAGCAATGTTCTTATGGTCAATTGAAAAGTCTTGCCAATATAGTTGCTGACTATATGTATTTTAACTATGATTTATTAACTCAAACTAACCCAATTTGTGCAATCTGCTGTGCCGTAAAACCCAATTTGTGAATTACAAAGGCCACGTTCATGCTGAGCCATCTTAAAGCTTAGCATGATTTGCCTGTCTTTGGCACACCACACTTGCTCACAAAAGCTACTAGAGCAGACTTTTAAAAAAACTAAATACAATACACCTTCAACTTGCTCAAGTAAAATTGAATCTTTTGTTGCACCTCAATGGATGGATGGATGGAGATATGGCTATATCGTGGTGGCACAGTGGTTAGAATGCAGTATTGCAGTCCAATTCTGCCAACGGCTAGCAGTTCAGTTCTCACCGGCTCAAGGTTGACTCAGCCTTCCATGGTCAGTAAAATGAGGTTCCAGATTGTTGGGGGCAATATGGTGGTAGGGCACTGTGAAACGGTATATAAATCTAAGTCTATTGCTACCGCTATGACTAGAGTAATGTATAGAGATAAATATTTGGTTACACCTTCCCATTGTAGAACTTCAAGTAAGCAAGAAAATGTTCCAGTGATATGTTAGGATGTGCCCATTAGTGACAATGAACAATATATATACTAAGAAGAGCAGGAGAGACCAGGATCCTGCAGGTTTGAGGAATTTCTGTTTGCTGTGCCAAATCATTTATCTGTTAGCAGAGTCCAAGAGGAACTTTGTCAGGTAAAAACTGTCTTGGTCAGTATTCTGGCTGCTATAAAGAACAAGTGGCAGAACAGTCAACTTTTTAAAAACTTTTTTAAAAAACTTTTTTATTTTCTCTCTAAAATAAATAAAAATATAATCAAAAATAAAGGAGAACATTTATAGTTCAGGGTTGAAATGAGGGGTCCTTGGATGTCTTCAAGATTGGGTAATGAAATGACTGCAAGAAAACAACCAAACTAAATATCATCAGCTACTAAGGAGTGGGATTTGCTCTCATTTTATATTCTAGTGGCTTGTCCTGTCAGTATTGGTGGGAGTGGTCTTTGGAGATTCTTGGTTGGGCTGGTTACTGTTAGCATGTTTAGCAGTTCCTTGATTGGGGTATGATTTACTTCTTGTTGGTTTGATGTTAATCTTGGTGTTAATCTATGCTTCTCATAGGGCGATTGTTGGTAGGGAGTGTTTTGGTCATTTTATTCCCATTTTGGCTTGTTGATTGTCTCTTTTGCACAGTAGGTAGATGTTAAAGTTATGTATCTAAAGGTAAAGGTAAGTTTCCACTGCCCAGTTGTGTCCGACTCTAAGGTGTGCTCATCTCCATGTCTTAGCTGAGGGAGCTAGTGTTGTCCAAAGACATTTCCATGGTCACGTGACCAGCACGATTTATGTTAAGGCACACAGAAAGATGTTGCCTTTCCATCAAAGTGGAACCTATTTATCTACTTGCATTTGCATGCTTTTGAATTGCTAAGTGGGCAAGAAATGGAGCAAGTAACGGGAGCTTATCCCATTGCGCAGTGCTCAGGTCTTGAACCCAGGCTGTCAGCTTTCAGGCTGACAAGCTCAGCATCTTTAACTGCTGAGTCATCGTGCCCCTTTTTATGTGTCTATCGATGGCCAATTAGTCAGTTTTCAGGAATTCTCTAGCACTTGGACTTGACTTGGTCTAGGATGGTCAGAATTTTCCAGTTGACAATATGATTAAGTCTGTCCATATATGTGAAAGCAAAGTTTTCATCCTGTCTTCTGACTGCTGGTGTTCATGGATGTGTTCTGCTAATCTTCATGTATGTTTGTCTTATGTAGTGGCTGTTGCAGTCTTTACACTGTATGTTGTAGATGACTCCTGTTTTTTCTTCTGGACCTGCTGTGTTGTTTGGTTTACTTAGGATATTTTGGACAGCTTTAGTTGGTTTGTGTGCTATGCCGATTCCATGTGATTGTAATAATCTATTGGTGGCTTGTGAGATGTTTTTGATATAGGGCAATGTTGTCATTTTTTTTCACTTGTTTTGGTTGTGCTATACTGGGTGGAGTTCTCAGGCACTTTTTGATGAAGTTGCGTGGATATCCATTTTGCTGGAAAAGGTTGTATAGAATCTGCTTCCTACCTGCCTAACAAAATGGAGGGCAATGACAGCTTCAACCAGGGAATAGGTACTCACAAGATGCTGGCTCTTAACCAAGATGATAAATGCACTGTGTGGTATATCACGTGGACACCAAGATAAGAAACCCTACTATACAAAGGGAATAGCTAGAGGTGAATTTTGGCTGCCTTTGTGGTGGGCTGGGGATGAGCCAAAGGTTACAGCATGAGGCTATGTCTTCTAAATATGACCAGCGTATTTAGCATAGATTATGGCTAGGTGAATGTGAGAAAGAACCTTTAGATGACTTCAGAAGATGCAGTAAGTTACTAGAGAGAGAAGAGGAAAAAAATCACAATTGGAAGTAAAAAGGTGTCTTTTAAAACAGGAGATTCCAGTGTCACAATTACACAAGGTAGCTTGTGTTCGCATGACCCATGACTTATCCATAGTAACTTTGATTTAACCATTTTTCCGCATTCTCCGGACACACACAGAAACCCATGATTATGCCAAGTTTCATACAAATGGTTGCCTAGTCTGTAGGCAACCCATCTGGTTCCCTTTCCCTAAAATCACGACCCCCCCCCCAACAGCTCCCGAGTTTAGAACGAGGCTTTCTTCCTTTGGCATCCAGCTCTCAAATGGTTAAACGAGATAAGTTCGCTACCGAAAATCCCCAAGGAGCCTCTTTCTGCATGGGGGGAAATGACATCGATTTTACCCCGGCAAGAGAAAACACGCGATGTGGAATCACACAACCGCAGCCGTTGAAAACAAATTCAAAAAGTGGAGGAGTTGCCGCGCTTGAGATTTGTTTTTTTTTATTATTATTATTATTAAATCACCACACCCTGAGCAAACAAACTCATACCAACAAAACTCTCGCCCAGCCTACTTTCCCAGTTAAGGCATCCTCGTTATGATTTGTTCCTGAATGACGCGCTTTTTCTTCCCCTAAGAGTTCTATCGTGCTTCACTGAAACCCAGCGGCTTTTTCTTTCTCTTTCCTCCTCCTCCTCCTCCTCCTCGTTGCTACGATCGATTCGAGGCAAATTCCAGCTCTCGCCAGCGCGCACTCCAAGGAGCTCCAAGAAAGTTTGCATCAGCCAGCCTTTCTCCCTCAGGGCAATGAAATCCTCGCTCTCCGCCGCCTATACATCCTCCTCCTCCTCCCCCTCCCCTCCCCGCCCCCCCGACGGGAGCCGCAGCTGGAGCGATCCTGGCTCCGCCGAGTGGCCTCAGCTCCGCCCTCACGATTGTGCCTCGGCATGTGAGCAAGATCCCATTTCAAGAGGCTCCTCCGCTTGCGCCTGCGACTAAGGTGGCTCGCGAGGACACCTCTCTCTCTCTCCCCCCCCCCCCCCCCCCCCCCACCTTTCCCCCCCCCCATGTGATCTGATTCCTCCCCCCCACCCCCCTTTTCCCCTCGCTCTCTCGCTCCCTCCTCCCCTGGACTTTCCTATGAGGTCACCAGCTGCTTCCTGGCTCCTCCCCTCTGCATCCCCTGGCTGTTGCGGGCCGTGGCTCCGCCTCCCCTGTAGAGAGTCCGCTCCTCGCGTTCATTTCATTCCTCTTCTCATTCCGAACATTCTTAGCATCGCTCGCGCTGCACAAGCCCATTCGAAAGCCCAGCCCGCCCTGCCGCCACCGGTTTTGGGGGCAGTAACTAATCACTTGAAGGGCTTCAATAATCCCGCAAGCCAACAAGCTGTAGAGCCCAAGACGCACACACACAGTGATTTTTTAAGGGGCAAAAAAAAAAAAAAAACATCCAAAAAAAAACAACAACCAACAAGCAAAAAAAAAAAAAAAAAAAACCCCAAACACGAAGGCTATAGACATTTTAAAAGCAAGCCAAAAGTCCCCAGGGGAAGCTGGAAGAAGTTTTGAAATTGATTTGCACAAAAAACAAACAAAAAAAAAGAAAGGCTGGTGGTGTTTGCAAAGGTGGGGAGTGGAGTGGAGGTAAGTTTTGTGCGTGTGCGTGGAGGGGCGAGCGGAGGCTGGAGGGAGCAGCTTCTCTTTACGGTTCGCTTTGCTTTGTGTGGCAGGGAACGGTGGATGGCGGGAGGGGGGGGAGGTCCTCTGTTATTTACTTGGGAGAATCGTGTCGGTTGCCCCCCCTTCTTTTCACGCCCCCCTCCCTTCCCGCGTCTCAGTCTCCGCAGGTGAACAGAGGGGAGAGGAGTTGGGGGGGGGGAAAGCGAAAAATCAGGCAAAGTAGCCTTGGGAGACAGGGGAGGGGGAGGCAAAGCTGTTTCCAGCGGAGTTTAGCCTGATTTGGGTATTTAGCCAGAGCTGCAACAGGCGGCCGCGCCGTTCCTCTCTCGCCCTCTGCGCCTTATTGCTGTTTGCTGCTTTAATTTACTTGCCTGAGTCACTGCTTTGCAGCCTGGCGCGCGCGCGCGCACTCTCCCTCCCTCTGTCTCTCTCTCTCTCTCTTTTTCACTCACTCACACACACACACACAATCGCGCGCGCGCGCGCACACACAAATCTTTGGCATTTTTCACATTTTTCGTCGAGAAGAAATAACTTGGGAGCAGATCAGGCCTTGCCTAGTAAAACGAACCCATCCCTTGAGTCCCTCATCCTAGCGCTGAGCTTTTATAAAAAGTGGCTGGATCGGAGATTTTAGCTGCCTGTTTATAGAGCTTTGAGGTTTTGTTTTGTTTTGTTTTTTCCTTCTTTCTCCCTCCCCTCCTTTTTCCTTTCTCCCCCCCTCCCCGCTTGCCCCCCGTTTTTATCCCTCCTTTTAAAGATGAAAGAAGGAATGTTCTCTTTCGTTGCTTCTTTGCTTTCTCCAGAACTGCTGCTGCTTAATTGCACATTCAAGTGGAAAATTTTTCCGGAGTCAGCAGAAACATTGTATCCCAAAAAGACAACAAAGTCACAGTTCCAACAAAACGAGGAGCTTGTCCCTGGAAAACTTCCTTCGGGTAGGAGCCCAATGTTTATTTATTTTCCTCTAACCTTTTACAGGAACCTTGTGCATCCCCTCCCTACACGTTAATAGTGCTGCTGGCCAAAAGAGACTCTTTTGTTCCACAATTCACACTGTCAAAGAAAGGAAGTCCACTTACATTGGGGAGGGGAGAGAATTAAGTTTATCTAAACCCAAAACAAAAAAAAATAGAAAGTGAGCGATAGTTTGCTAGCCAAACTCTTGTTTTTTATTCCAATCTATTGGGGGAGATGGACAAACAAGAAATTTATACCATTCTGGATTGGTTTACTTTTTTTAAAGGCACCAAACATTATTAAAATATTTTTGAAACTATGAAAAATCAGTGTCACTGTGTTTCTCAGGAGAATAGTTAAGAGATTAGAAGTGACTACCTACTCTGGATATGGGGATATGTCTCCATATCAAATGGCCTTCAATAAATGCCTCCAAAGTTGATGGGCATCTACCTTCCTTTGTTTCTAAATGTAAGTGTCTTTATGTTTTAATTTCAGGTGTGAAAATCTCTCTTGCTATATATTTTCTATTTTTTTTTAAAAGCATGGTGCTTTTAACTGATTATGTGACTTCTGACATGATGTATCTCTATTCTGATTTAAAATAGCCAAGGAATAAAAGTAGCTCAGCTAAAACTCTTTATCAGGAACACTAAACATTCTAATCTATAAGTTAATCAAGTTAAAGAAACATCCTTAGTTGTAGTTTTGCAAGAGTAATCTAGATAAGTATCAGTATTGAAAGCAGTTAAGTAAAAGATCACCTTTAGCTAAACTTACAATGCATTTTATCTGGATGTAGAAATTGTATTCAAGGACAGACTCAGAAAAAGAAAAGAGCATTATGTACAGTGCACTGGGGACACAAATTGTAAATAGAAATCTGGTCTTATTTCGTACAAGATTTAAAGAAATGTGCTCCTAAATTTGGAATGGTTGTCCTAGGGTATATAGTGCATTGCAATCTCTATAAATAGTTGGGGAATACCACTGCAAGGACATTAGATTGTACTGACAGTGTTAAAAAGATTCCAGATAATTCAGAGGCTGTTTTACACTGCCTTACTTCTGTATCTCTGTACAGACAGCAGCTCCTGCCTATTTTTCAAATGGAATGCTGAGAATTCATATTTCTCTTCAAAAGGTCAGGAGTACAAATTTAAGGCCTAGCTGAGTTTTAGAAGGGGTACTCTTTTAGTATTTTCACAGCTCTCCACAATCCATTTTAGATTTCTTCATATTTTATTTTAATTCATGTTTATGCCATGATGATTTGTTAATAAAGTTAGCCATAATTTTGGAGTTCTAATTGCATTAAATATTTTCAACATTTATAGATGCATTGTTTAAGAAAATAGTTTGAGCCTTTGATTCCATATTCTCCCCTTTTGCTAAATGAAAGTAATGGAATGATAATATCTGAATATGTGTGATTGCTGTTAATAATTATTCATGTTCAGTTCTGCAGAAACATTTAAAGTTATCAAAAGCAACTGCACAATCTGTTAGATATATGATTAATAAATTGTATTTAGGTCCAAACTATGTTCATTAAAGTTATCCCAAGGAAGAGACTAGAGTGAAGTGTTGGTTTTGCAAGAAAGTTTAGTAAACAGTGGAAAAGAACAGTTTTAGCACAACTAAGAATTTGGCCCTTAGTGAATTCCAGCTGGAAGATTTTTAGTGTTGGAAGAATGTGGCTCTTTATGTGTGTTGGTTGAAAAGCCACTTTAATAATTTGAAAGTAACACTTTTTTTCCCTTTTGCTTAGATGGTGAATAAATTTTTGAAAGAGGTAGCCTTTTATGGTAGTTCTCTATTGCTAATGAAAGTTAAGATTAGAAACATGAACATAGTAAGCCCTAACATGTTTGTAAAAAGTAAAAAACATTGCTAGAGTTCAGCAATTAAATTATATTAAAAAAACTTTTAAAAAATGGATATATCTAGAGGCATTAAACAAGAAGGGGTGGAATTAGCATTCTAGTTAACATGAAAGTGTTATGTAGAATTGCCCAAAGGTGTATTAGAACTAAATTGCAAAAACTTCTAAGCAATGGAAAGTTGAAGGAAAATAAATATAAATGTTTTTGTGTATAGGTCTAATAAAAAGTGGTAATTGGGTAGCCATTATCCTACTATATGAACTGTGCTTTCTGTGAAAATAATGTATTTTATTTTAAAATATTTTGGGCTTATTGTGAAACTTGATATGCAGCATGTGCATTTAAGTAAGGAATTGATATAAGGGTATTTTAAAGTTTTTAACCTAGCAGGTTTTCTGGCACAGTTATGAGTTTCACACTGTTTATCTGAAATGGCTTGATGCCTTGTTTCCTAAAGCTGCTTCATTAGTTTAGGATTTAAATATTTGTTGCATCAAAGCCCTCATATTAACATGGGATATGTGTTTGTTTATGCTGTTATGCAATTAATTTTTTTGCTGATTTGATCTTTTAAGATTTTTATGTTTTGAGAATTTTAAGAATTGTAATCTAGACACTAATTCAAAAATAATATAACTAAACATGCAATGTGGATATGAATTGCAAGCAAGGTTTATACTATATATTTTTTCTCATTATGGTTCTGCATAGAGATATATTTAAATAGAAATGCATTCATACCTCCATGTTTTACTGTAGTGGACTTTTTTAAAAAGTTACCTACTAAATATAAGTGAAGAACTCTAATATGGGTGTATTTCGATTGGAAATATGTGCTATGAAAATTATAACACTTTTATGTGGAAGCTGTTACTTTTTGTGGCCGTGCATTATCTTTACTACATTTCTATAGAATCATGTAGAAATCAAAAACCTAGAAGTGCAACAGTTAAACATTTTCTACAAAAGTCTTATGGTATTGATAAGTGTCCTTTTGTAACTTTAGTTCTATCTAATAACCAATTGATCCCCAAGTCTGTAAATATCCTTTCAGATATCAAAGACACATCAAGTTAATTGATCACTGGAATCTTCTTGACCAGAGAGTATGTGGGGGAAGGGGAGATGGGAAATATGCATGTTCAGAAGTGAATCTTCTACATTAGCTGTGTATTTCTCCTTGGAAGTTCTTGCTTGAAGATGAGAATAGATCTTATTACAATACATGCACAAACTTTTTAAATTATTCCTCAACAAGGGCAAAGTGATCTCAAGCTGATATTTTATGATGATGCAAATAGGAATCAGAAACAAATGTACTTTTTTAATTTTGAAGCTTCAAAGTCACTTTGTAAGCCTTGCATGCCAACTTGGTAGACTAACATTCTTACATCACAACAGCAATATCGCAACTTGTAGTGTTGGCATGTATCATTACAATTGACTTGACACCCTGGATTTATGATTGGGCTCCCAGGATCCTATCTCATAATGCTGCTTGGAGTAGAAATACTTAATTGGGGATTTCTAAAGTAGATCATATTGTGGTACAGTATTACAGAATCCTGATTAGTTGTTATAGGAGGATTTTTAGATGATGAGTCTGTGCTGGAAAATAATCTTCAGTGTTAAACAGATGCTTTCCTGGGAATGCTTACTCACAAATAACTGTCTCTAGGATCATAGACAGACTATATTGGAGTCCTTTTTCATAAGAAGCAGTTCCATACCCCAAGGAAACATGTTATTTTATAAAACCTCAAGTGCAATGTTATTGAAAGCAAGTATTTTATTGAAAGCAAATTATTTTAAGCAATTTGAAGCTTAAAATAATTGAATGAAATTATCTGATTATGTCTTGTACAAGGTATGTTATTTTGTAACCTTTGCTCCTAAGCAATTCTAACATAAATTTCAAAGCACTTGGGTAACCAGACTACTTGGGAGCAAAAGTTTGCACCTCACTTTGGTATTATTTGGAGGAGGGTATTAAGGTAAGACTGGAACCCTATAATACCTACTAATACCTGCCTGCTATAATACCAGTAAGGCCTCCTAGCTTTAATGTAAAGAGCAGGTTTTACAGGAAAAATAGGGAGAAGAATTTGAAAAAAATAAAAGAGAAAATCACTGACTTCCCTTTACTTTCAAATAATAGAAATTACAATAGGATTTTTAAAAATGGCCTTATTATATTTAACCAAATAAAATCTAAGTATGCTAATAGTTTTTGCTTTTCTTTTGTTTCAGCAAAAGATACAAAGCAGCCTAATGTTTTGGCAATTTGACAACTATTTCTTTTATCAAGACCAAAACTTAAAAAAAACCTATTAGTCAAATGATTATAATTCCATTCCCATTGATCTCTAATATCAGTGTATTCTATTATTTTAACAGTACATAAACTGAAAGCTACTCAGTGGGAAATGTTAATTATGTGAGAACATATTGAACTTACATTCTCTGCAGCTAACTCTTTAGTGCATCTGTTGCATTGCTTTATCCACAGAATTTCTGAATTATCATAATTCGATGTTGTACTAGCTTTTGGAAGGAGTTCAAGATGGTGTTTTAAGTTATAATAAAAGGCATCCTAAGGAAAACCCAAAGTGATAATATATTCAGTTCAATAAGAAATTCATGTTGAAAATAATCTTATTGGCAGATCAGGTGATAGCAGAGACCCTTTAATTCTTTAATTCATTTTTGTGTGCTGTATGCTCTGTCTCTCTCACTATCCAAACATAGTTAAATTGAATTTATTTGAGAATATAGGAAATCCAGCTCATAATGTCAACTTAAATACTATAAAGGTCTGTTACGTATATTAATAAACTTTTTTGTGGTGAAGGCTTTTGAGCAGTTGATTTGCTGTCCTTAAAGGATGCTTTTAAGAGCAACATGAAAATACACACACACACACACATATAAATTCTTTTCATGTTGTTCTTAAAAGCATCCTTTATATAATTAGAATATATATAATCTTCATTGTAAATCAAATGTGAATCTATGACTTCTACAGAAGGCGAGTTGTAAATCACTTTTCTCAGTTACTTCTTGCCACCTTACCTTTATGACGTTGGTTAAGA